CTGTGTCCACCAATACGGGTCCTTCAGAAAGTGGCAGCAACCCATAAGCACCTGCTCCTGCAGGAGTGCACTGTTCTGCAAGGGCAATGGCATTTGCACTCATTTCAGACAAGAGCTTTGTATTTGGCTGCATTTAAAACCCACCTGCCAAGGCATAAAACCTGGAGTTTTCATCTATAGTGCCACTATCCTGGATTTAATGGTCTTGACTGGCCTTGGCAGAACCTAGTCATTGAAACAATTCTGTTTTTCCACAAGCCAGGCATCCACAATAGAGGCACAAGTGAGGTCGATATAAATAGCAGTGTCCCCTCACCATACATAAACATACCAATTACTCTGTATCTGTGCGATATTTTCATAAAAAGGTCTGACCCAGAAGGAAATGCACCTGCTTTCCTTGCTTTAGTCTTAGCAGCTCCTCCTTCGAGCAGCAATGCAATGCCTCCTGAATACTGGTGACAAGAACGTTGCTTGACCCCTGCCCTGGCCCACAGCAACACCACCTGCTTCTGTGTGGCTCTGGCGCTCTGTTTGGGCATCCTTTCAGCCATTCGCAGGGTCGACTTTTGACATGTGCACCATTTCAAAGATGTAAGGCCAACTCAAGTACTAGGAAGCACAGCCAAAGATACCCATCACATGCACACTGTGTCCCTAAAACGAAATAGATTAACATGTGGGCAGTGCCCCACAGACAGCTTCCGATATGTAGTTGCTGATTGTAACTTGTTGCCTTTGCTGATTGAAATGAAAGTATTTATGGCAGTGACTTCTACTTTATGTCTAGCTTTGGTCACCTTCCATGAATTTGAGGCAATTTTCTTATTGATGAGCTTATTCTTGTTGACAGTTTTGTTTATTATCTTCACTGGCATTTTATTTCCTGTTGGCTCCCAGAACTGGGCGATGTTGCTATTGTTCTCTCCAGTTTTGCTTGTATTGCACTTTGATTAATAAATGAAATTTATTCTCTTTCTGTTTTGTATTCATTTAGTTTTTCTTGAAAGCTTATTTTCTGTGGCCCATGGAAAATAAGCATTGAATTTGTGGGGCACACGTGGAGGGACTGTCAGCTGATTCCAAGTCATTAGCAGTGACCCTGCTGCTCAGGCTGGGCTAGTGGCACGGAGCAACGTGCCTTGCTCTACATGCTGAATACCTGCGTTTTCCTTTCGTACTGCTGGTTGAATCCATGGTCTTCACGCTGAACTACCTCTCAGGCCCTTTATATTTTTTGATTTTCAGATAGGCTCTGTCCAAGTCATTAAGGTGCTCGGGCTTGGCTCACACTTTGGATCCTCCTCCCTCAGGCTCTACATTTTTGTATTCTGCATTTGTACAAGTTTTGGAAGCAATTTTCTGAATCCCAAAGAGCTATTTTGGACAAGTGACGAGCCTCTGTACCTGGCAGTTAAAACCCATAGCTAAATTTTGAACCTAGGGGAGGCCTTGCCTGTCCAGTCATGCTGTGAATGCGCCCCCTGAGCCTTTCCTTCCTCCTCCTGAGGCAGAGAGAACCCCTAGCAGTCCGTTTAGTGTTTTTTAACCCTCATCCTGCATCAGCAGGTCCTGTCCTACAGTATTTTAAGGAAATAGGTAAATTACATGGGAACCTGTCCCCAAGTGGTTCACCACTGTACTGGAAGAGAGTTGTTGGACTTTGCTACCCTGCATCTGCGGTCTCCATGGCATTCTGAAGTGGACCAGAATTGGGCACCTCCAGGTCCCCACATGAGCCTTATTCCTGCAAGTCCCTCAGATGTAGCCTCCTGAGTGCAATATTCTCAGAAATGACCAGAGCTCACATTTAAGCCCAGGCCCAGCTCCAGCTTCTTTTCTAGTCCTCTGTAGCACATGTGCAATGGGATTGGAGAGAGAGAACTCTCCCCCTTGCCTCTCTTTAGCATCTGTGCTTGGTTTAGTCAGCTACCATTTCTTAGATCTGAACAACTCAGAGCTGGAGCTGAGGAATTTCTTCCTTCTGCTTGTCTGTTCCCAGTTGAGGCTGTGAAACAGGACTCTTCTGAGTAGCATAGGCTAGATCTCTCTCAATAGGGATCCGAAATATAACAATATTACAAAAATTTTGGTAGATTTCCCTCATCTGCCTTCAGTTGACATCCCTAAGGCTGAACACAAGAATGAGTATATGTGAAATACAGGGCATGACTTCAAACACTAAAATGTGAGTTCCTAGATACAGTTGAAATAGCTCCCATTCAAATCTGCTCCACAATAATCAGTGGGCTGTAGCTTAAATCATGGAGCTCGCCATTAAATTGTTTAGTGCTTTTTATATCATTATGCATACTTCATTTTCATTTGTCCCTGTATAAATATTAACCTTAAGAATGTCGGATAGTCAATGTTATAATCATGGTGTAAAAAAAGTTAGATGACCCTCTTTGCTCTCAGAATGCCTCCTGAGTCTCATTGGCACTTCCTTTTAAACAATTAGTTCTTCCTTCCTCTCTTCCTGATTAGGTTCCCTTCCTAGGAAGCAGAGAATGTGGAAAGCAATCAGTGAAAAATACATGTGGTCACTCTGTCATCTGTGGTGAGAGGGGATCTCCTTCAGTTTCACATCTGTTGAGACTGTTCTGTCCAGTCTGGGACTTCCATGACAGTATTCTCAGGGGGATTCCCCACATGCAAGAGAATCCTCCAGTGTATCAAGGTGTGAAGGAAAAGTGTGGATTACATGTGATTCTTCCTACCATTTTTCAGCCGAGTGATGCTATTCTTACCATTGAGATGTCTTCCATCCTTTATCAAGTAAAAGTCTTTGACAGACATGTCTTAGTTGATTCCAAGAGTCTGTTGAGTCTAAAATTCCTTTGAAACTATTGCATTTTGCAACAGAGACTATGGGTAGAGAAATCTACCCTCTTCTGAAGGTAGTGTTGCAGAAACTGTAGTGAACCAGATAGAAAACAGTCTGCACCAAGGAGTTTGGAAGCAAACTTTTATTAACACTAGTGGGCTGATGGGAACCAGGTCCAAATCATCAGCACTGGCTTAGAGTAAAATAGCAACTTATACACATTTTGTAAACATGAAGTACAGTTTAGATAACAGGTTAGTTTATAATTGGTTATATATATTTGGTCACACTTTGTCAGGCAGATATAATTGGAGGGTGCCATTTATCATGAAGCAGGAAGGTCTGGAGGAAGTCAGGGCTTTGGCAAGCGGGTAAGATTTAGTGTGACCTTGACAGGGCTAGTCTGCCCCCAGGTGGATACTCCTTGAAACCGGATATGTGTGTAGCATTGTGCAGCTGGTCGCATAAAGCGGAGTCAAATTATCTCTGAGTTGTAGCTGTGTAAGGCTGGCTGAGTCTGATCGCCCAATTATAAAGGTATAGTTTTAAATTTTTCCACTACAGTAGGATATACCAGGTAAGCCAGGTTGGACTCTGTCATGTAAAAAGGAAATCAGTAGTTGTGCCAAGTTTGTGCGTTGCTGCTTCTACAATCTAAGGGATAATGGGTCACTATGTGGAAAGAGTCACAGGATCAGGACCCATTATCAAGACTCATCAGTTTATGACCTCCAGTTACCCCTCTTATGGTATGTAGCATGAGATCAAGGAGGGCAGTGCTTGTGTTTGACCCAGAGCAACTGATGACCATCACAGATGGCCCAGAGAATCCAGGAGGTATGAAAGGATGTTTTAAGTGCTGATACAGTAAAAGTGTCTCTTGAGAGCACTAATAGGAATGCCAGTTGTTGTGCCATTTAACGGGTTCTAGGGCCTTGTATTGAAGGCACCATTATACTAGGTGAGCTTATTTGAAAATACCAGCACAAATAGGCATATATGAGTTTTTAAAATAAGGAATACATTATCTCCAAAATCCTCAAATGACTAAAAGATGGAGTTATTTTAATGCTGTGTGTGCTTACAGGGTCAGCCCATAGTTATATCAGACTCAAGAAGTAAGCCATAACTATAGAAGAGGTTTAAGTGGTAAAAACTAGAAGCCAATGAATGTGGGCAGTATAGAGATGCTAGAAAAGTGAAGGGAATGGACTCTTCCCTCGAGCCACTGAAACGAAGAGTCCTGCTGACCCCCGTTAGACTTTTGACTTTCATAAATGTAAGATGATTCATTTGTATAGTTTTAAGCTGCTAAGTTTGTGGTAATTTGTTACGGCAGCCATAGAAAATGAATACAGGAGCTTTAATGGGTGGACCTTGACATCAAGGTTTAGGATATCTAGCATGTGGTGCCATTGCTTCTTTCAAGTTTAAGAGCAGACAAGATTGTGCCGTTAAATGGAAATACACTGGGGATAATCACCACTTCTCTACATAAGTACTATACAATGAAGTTCAGTACTGAAATCTCTTACTTTAATTTATATTAGGGTGTACTATTTCAACTTGCAGGAGATACTCCGTAAGTTCTTTTTATCAGGTGATTATAAGCACCAAAGACTTAATTTTTAAAAAAAATTATTGTGTCAGATCATCCATGCCCACTATGGGACATTTTAGAGCAATATCTAGTATGACTATGGAAAATTTAGACAAAGAAATTGTTTCCTTTAGGGTAAGGCATACTTCCACGTTCTCTAATTTATGTTTGATAACTGCCCTAAAATGTTAGGGAGTATTTTGTTTAAATTTAATGAAATTCCTCAGATACAGCTATACTTTGAGTCTCAATACTGATTAAGGTGGCTACATTTTTCCAACTGATACATTTTAACAGATGTTAAACCTAATTAAGAATTCAGAGCCATAAAATCCAATCAGCAACCTTTCACTTTTATCTTATGTATATTATTTTAGTACATGTTGAAAATCCAGTTGGGTCAAATTTGGACCTTTCTTTCAGTTATTTTTATTTTTTCTTCTCCTCGTATCTGGGTTTTTAAATGGACACTATATACACCACAGGGACTCCACTCTATTCTGCATATATTTACTGATTTCTTCTTTCACAGTCTCAAACCATTATCATCAGAATTAGGGGCCTAACTCCCAACTCTAAAGTCAGCTTTGAATTAATAACTATTTTATTTTTCCATGAGGACACCATGAATAAGTGTTTTCCTTACAACCTGGAGAAACAGGAGGTCTGTGGTAATAGAGTTATGGGCAGTAGCAATAGCAAAAGCATTATATAGAGCCCAAGTGGGCTTTTAGGAATACTTTTTGGAATGTAAACTCGGCATGCCATGTGGTAACTACTCTTCCTCCAAAGAAATGACATCTGATGGACACATATATTGCACAGGGCATTATCTTTTCTTTTGAGCTCTGCAGAATGTGGGCCAATGCTGATTGAGATTCACAAGTGGTCACTTAGTGAGAGTCATTTCCTTGAGCCTAGTGCCAGTCATGGCTTATGTTAAAATGGAGACACACAATCCGACCAAGACAGATCGCACATAGAAGGTGTGGCTTAGACAACACTGGGGACTTAGAACACACCTCCTTACCTTCCATATACTCTTGAATCTCCCAGTAATATCAGTTCCTTCTGCATCCTGAATTTTTACCTCTAGCCTTAGTTTCCACAGCAAGTGAAAAAACCCTCTCATCCCAATTTTGGCAGGCATCCCTTTTTTTTTTTAAAATTTTGCAACATGAGACATGGACATGCTTGAGTAAATGATCTTATGGTGTTGAAGAGACGGGAGGGCAGAATGAATAGAGCAGTGGTGGGCTAGAGTTTTAAAATAGGCTGGGGGAGGAGAATGCAGGCCTGGATTTTTATAGGAACTTATTAGGTCTGGGAAGGTTTGGGATCTTTTAATCACAATGAAAAGCATGAAATATCCTTCCTTACCTACTGCAGTGCAACCTGGGAAACAGCTCCTAGATACCTCTTTTCATCAACTGTCAAATGGATACATAGAATAAATGTTATTTCAGAAGAAACAAGACAGCCAG